TCCCTGAGTTTTCTGACCATTAGTTGACTGGCTCCCCCACAGCAGAGGAGCTTCAGTGGTCCTCAGAAACAAAGGCAAAATACAACCACCGAAGAAAAGGCTAGTGTTTGACTAACAGCGTAAGGGATGTAGAGTGATATCCACTGTTCTCTAGCCCTTTCATGTTGTCAAAAGCAACATCTGTCATCAGAAGGATGAAAACTGAAAGTACTCTGAATAGACAGGTATTATTTTATGCTGTTATTGCACTTGGAGCAAATTGAGATGAGGAAAATTAGGACTAAGTGATGCTCAGCTTTAAGTGGATTCAAATGTAGGTGCGAGTGTGATGAAAACTCACCACTTCTGTCAGTGTGTCATATTGTGGTGATTTGTGTGTTGCTGTGATGTTGAAAGCTATGCCACCAGGGTTTTAAATACCAGCAGGGTCACCCATGATGGACTCATTTCATCAGGGCTTCCAGACTAAGGCAAACTAGGAAGAAGGAGAGGCAGATCACTTCTGAATGGTTAGCCATTGAAAACCTTGTGAATAGCAGAGAAGCACTGTCAGATACAGTGCCAGAAGATGAGCCCCTCAGGTTGGAAGGCACTCAAAATACGACTGGGGAAGAGCTGCCTCCTCGAAGTAGAGTTGACCATAATGGCGTGAATGGAGTTAAACTTTCTAGACCGTCATTTGCCGATGTGACACAACTCAAAATAAGAAGAAACAACTACAAGCATCCTTTAATAATCAGAATGTGCAATGTACAAAGTATGAATCTAGGAAAATTGGAAATGGTCAAAAATGAAATGGAACACATGAAGATTGGTATCCTACACATTAGTGAGCTAAAATGGACTGGTATTGGCAATTTTGAATCAATTATATGGTTTACTATGCTGGAAATGACAAATTGAAGAACATTTCAAATCTATCTTGAAGTACAGTGCTGTCTGTAATGGGATATCCATATGCCTACAAGGAAGGCCAGTAAATACCACTATTATTCATATTTATGCACCAACCACTAAAGCCAGTGATGATGAACTTGAAGAATTCTGCCAACCTCTTCAGTCTGAAAATGATCAAACACGTACTCAAGACATACTGATAATTACTGGTGATTGGAATGAGAAAGTTGGAAACAAAGAGGAAGAGTCAGTAGTTGAAAAATACGGCCTTGGTGATAGAAATGATGCTGGCAATCACATGATAGAATTTTGCAAAAACATGTTCATTGCAAATACCTTTTTAAAACAACATGAAAGACAACTATGGAGTGGATCTCATTAGCTGAAATACACAGGAATCAAATAGACTACATCTGTGGAAAGAGACAGTGGAAAAGCTCAATATTATCAGCCTCAATAAAACCAGGGACCATCTATGAAGCAGATCATCAACTGCTCCTATGCAAGTTCAGGCTGAAGATAAAGAAAACGAAAACAAGTTAGTGAGAGCCAACATAAGACCTTGAATGTATCCCACCTGAATTTAGAGATCATCTCAAGAACAGATTTGATGCATTAGACACTAATGACCAAAGATCAGAAGAGCTGTGGGATGATATCAAGAACATCATACAGAAAGAAAACAAAAGGTCATTAAAAAGACAGGAAAGAAAGAAAAGGCCAAAATGGATGTCAGAAGAGGCTCTGAAACTTGCTCTCCAGCATAGAGATGTTAAAGCAAATGACAGAAATGAGCAGGTAAAAGAACTGAACAGAAAGTTTCAAAGGGCAGCTCAAGAAGACAAAATCAGTTATTATAATGAAATGTGCAAAGGCCTGGAGTTAAAAACCCAAAACAAAGAACACACTCAGCATTTCCCAAGCTGAGAGAACTGAAGAAAACAAATTAAATTCTTGACTTGCAATATTGAAAGATTCTGTGGATAAAATAGTGAATGGTACAGAGAACATCAAAAGAAGATGAAGGAATGCACTGTACCAAAAAGAAATGATCGATGTTCACCCATTTCAAGAGGTAACATATGCTAAAGAACCGACGGTCCTGAAGGAAGAAAACCAAACTGCTCTGAAAGCACTGGTGAAAAACAAGGCTTCAGGAATTGATGGAATACAAATGAAAATAGTTCAACAAACTTACTCAGTGCTGGAGGTGCTCACTTATCTAGGCTAAGAAAATTTGAAAGACCTGACCAACAGGTTGGAAGAGATTCATATTTATGTCTGTTCCAGAGCAGTGACCCAGTGGAATGTGGACATCATTGAACAATATCATTAATATTACATACAAGTAACAAAATTTTGCTGAAGATAATTTAAAAATGGTTGCAATAGTACATCGACAGGAAAGTGCCAGAAATTCATTCCAGATTCAGATTCAGATTCAGATCTGGAACTAGGGATGCCATTGCTGACATTATATGGATCTTGGCTGAAAGCTGAGAATAACAGAAAGATATTTCTTAAGCTTTATTGACCATGCTAAGGGTTTTGACTGTGTGGATTATGACAACCTGTAGATAACATTGGGAAGAATGGGTATTCCAGAACACTTCATTGTGCTCATGAGGAACCTGTAGATAGACCAAGAGGCAGTTGTTAGACTAGAACAAGGGGAGACTGTATGATTTAAAATCAGGAAAGGTGTATGCCAAGGTTGCATCCTTTCAGCATACTTATTTAACTTGACGATGAGAAAATATCCAGGAACCTGGATTATATGAAGAAGAATGTGACGTCAGGATTACAGGAAGACTCATTAACAACATGCCATATGCAGATGATACAATCTTGCTTGTTGGAAGTAAATAGGACTTAAAATACTGGAAAGATCAAAGACTACAGCCTTCAGTATGGATTGCACTTCAATGTAAAGAAAGTAAAAATCCTCACCACTAGACCAGTAAATAACATCATGATAAATGGAGAAAATATTGACGTTGTCAAAGTCTTTATTTTGCTTGGATTCACAATCAACCCTCATGGAAGCAGTAGTCAAGAAATCAAAAGAAATATTGCACTAGGCGTATCTGCTGCAAAAGACCTTTAAAGTGTTCAGGAGAAAAGAGATCAGTTTGAGGACTAAGGGGCATTTGACCCATGTATGGCATTTTCATTGAGATGTACTCCATACCGAAGGCAGTGCTCTTTGATCTTCATCAATAAATGTTTTAAGTCTTCTTCACTTTCAGCAAGCAAGGTTGTATCATCTGCATGTCGCAGGTAGTTAATAAGTCTTCCTCCATTCCTGATGCCACATTTTTCTTCATCTAACCCAGCTTCTTCGGTATGGATTGCATCTCAATGTAAAGAAAACAAAAATCCTCATGACCACTGGCCCAATAAACAACATTCTTATCAATGGGGAAAGATTGAAGTTGTCAAATACTTCATTTTTCTTGGATCAACCATCAATACTTATGGAAGCAGCAGTCAAGAAATCAAATGACGTATTGCATTAGGCAAATCTGCTGCACAAGACCTTTTTAAAGTGTTGAAGAGCAAAGATGTCAGCTTGAGGACTAAGGTGTGCCTGACCCAAGCCATGGTATTTTCAATAACCTCCTATGTATGCGAAAGCTGGACAGTGAATAAGGAAGATCATAGAATAATTGATGCATTTGAGTTATGATTTTGAAGGAGAATACTGAAAGTTCCATGGGCTGCTAAAAGAACCAACAGATCTGTGTTGGAAGAAATACAGGCAGAGTACTCCTTGGAGGCCAAGATGGCCAAACTTCATTTCTCCTACTTCAAACATATTGTCAGGTGGAACCAGTCGCTGGAGAAGGATATCATGTTTGGTAAGGTGGAGGGTCAGAGAAAAAGAGGAAGACCTCCAATGAGATGGATTGGCCAAGTAGCAGCATTGATGGACTCAAGCGTGGCAACAATAGTGAGGTTGGCCCAAGATCGGGCAGTGTTTCATTCTGTTGTGCATAGAATAGGGTCTCTATGAGTCAGTACCGACTTGATGGCACCTAACAACAACAACAAATGGCATTTTCAATCACCTCTTATGCATGTGAAAGTTGGACAATGATTAAGGAAGATGGTAGAAGAAACAATGCATTTGAATAAGAATATTAAAAAATACCATGGACAGCCAGAAGAACAAACAAATCTATCTTGGAAGATATATTCTTTAGAAGCTAGGATGCAAGAGTGTCTCTTGTTCTTTGGACGTGCTATCAGGAGGGACCAATCCCTGGATAAGGTTTTTACCAAGGACATCATTCTTGGTAAAATGGAGGGTCAGGAAAAATGAGGAAGACCCCCTTAATGAGACAGATTAACACAGTGCCAGTAACAATGGGCTCAAACATAAAAACAATTGTGAGGATGGTGTAAGAACTCGCAGTGTTTTGTTCTGTTGTGCATGTTGTTGTTATTAAGTGCCATCAAGTCAGTTCCAACCCCCTGTATTGTGAATCCAATCTACTTGAGGGCACCGAACAATAACAACATAATGAGAGTAGATGTAAATGGGTCCATCAGCTCTGACTTGCATTTTAAATCAATTTGTTGATTGAGCACCTCTAATAGAAAGTAAATGACAAGTAAGGGAAGGCTGGAGAGCAATATGCTTTTGAGGCTTTAGTGGTCTTCAGAAGGTTATTAGTTTACATGTAAATTGAAATGCTTTTGTACATTTTTAGAGTAAGTCACTTCTTATTGAAATGTAAGGAAGCCATGAATTCCTCTAGAAAAAGAAGGAGGTCTTTGTGTGTGGTTGGATTAACTTCTCCTTGGAGTGATTTTTGTTGCTAATTAAGTGCCATTGAGCCAGTTCTGACTCATAGTGACCCTATGAGTTTTCACAGAGCGACTGATTAGTGGATTTGAACCTCTGTCCTTGTAGTTAGCAGTCCAGAGTTGATCCTACAGAGCCGTTCCAGGACTCAGAAATGAAGAATATTCCTTAATATTTTCCTAAGTGGGGTTAATTATGGAAAGTGTTTGGGATTGTAAAGAGGATAATTGTCTGGTTTTTTTGGCTTAAACATTTTTTATACCTTGCTAAATTAGTTCCTCTTTTGATCTAGTGATAGATACAGCGATGCCAGTGATGACAGCTTTTCAGAACCAAGGTTAGCTGAGTTGGAAATACAATGAAATGGATTCCTGTAATAACAGGGACTGCCTGAGACGGTAATGCTGGATTTTTAAGGTTTTGTTGGTTGTACAGACAAGCTTTCATCTTGTGTGTAGGAGGAAGCGCTATAGGAGGCCTTGCAGGGTCCTGCTCCCTCAAGATGCTTTCTTAGTTAGCAGGAGCGACTTGACAACATTGGATGCACAGGTGGCCTTTGGGGGAAATGGAGTGTACCTGAGGCCAGGAATAAATATATAAGTAAATCGATAAATGCATACTCAGAGGCTATAGTGGTCAAAGTTATCACAGTCTAGGACATTTTCTGTAAAGGACCAGATAGTAACTTATTTGAGACTTTGCGTGCCAGACGGTCTCTGTGGTAGGGAGCTCCTCCACTCTACCTTTGGAGCGGCCATATAGACAAACTGATAAGGATAGGCATGGCTGCGTTCCAGTGAAACTTTATTTACAGAAACAACTTGGTCTAGGTCACTCTTAGGAAAGACTTGCTTGAATTTGTAGAAAATGAAACAGTATTTTAAGGAGTTCCAAGTGCTCAGCTTGGTTTCTAAGGGGGGCTGATTTACTCCACAGTTCTAATGTGCTTGAGGAATGTAGTCTGGATAGCTTCAGCACATTTATACTAGTGGTGGATATTGACTGGGGTTAACTCAAGGCTTTGAATTGGATGAGCTGCTCCTTAGTGGGGAGGCAGCTTTTTGAGAATTGGTAGAGTGTGGGATGTCTTCCGATTGCACTCAGGGCCAGAGTCTTCCCATTTACCAGAGAAGAAGCCAGTCAAACATGGGGAGCTTCAGGGCAAACAAAAATGATGAAGAGGTTAGCTGAAGATATGGTACAGACTTGTGTGATTCATTTTTGGAGGTTGCTAATACTTACATTCTTTTTCTGTTTTTATTTCTTTCAGTCTGTGAAATGATTGACGTCAAGATGAAGAAACAATCTGAAGAAATCATTTATAGAATCACTCTGATTATTCAATGAAGATGGATGGAAAATCTTAAAGGAAATCGAATGAATAATACCTACTTCCACAAATGAGAATCAAAGGGGTTGATTTTGTTTCCCTCCAGCGATGATCTTGATTGTCACAAATTCCAATGATTGATTAAAATTTTCCTAATAACCTCACGGTTGAGAGAGAGTGTTCATGTTTTGTCCTATGTATCCACATGGTAAGGTGGTGAGCAAGGCCCCTGGGAGCTGAGGCTGCGTGGTGTTGAGGTGGGGGGCAGGGGTGGGGGGGAGCAGGTCAAGTACTGTAGCGAACTGAGTGAGCAATGACTCATCCTGTTGCCTGCAATGGAACTGCAGGTCAGGGTTATGTTAGTTTTTCACCTTGTTTACTCCCTTTTCCAGCTAAAAGCAAAATTAAACAGGTCCCAAACTAGGGGTGGCAAGTAAGGCCTTTACTTCAGGGATAAAATGTAAGAAACACCAAAACACTTGGGAGTCAAGATCATAAACACACACACACCACAGTTTTCCTTTCAAAAATCTTTATTGAGGAATAATTCACATCAGGTAAATTTACCAGTTTTAAGCGGACATTGTAATTAATCTGTCATTCCCCCTCCCTCCTATCCCTCGTCTTTGTCTCTAGACTTTACCAGGTATTTCCTAGAGGTGAGATCACACAGTATTTGCCCCTATGTGACTGACTTATTTCATTCAACATAAGGTTTCCAGGTTGATTCAAGACATAGCATGTATGAAAACTTCATGTCTCTTTATAGACAACTAGTATTCCATTGTATGTGTGGAAGCCCATTTTGTTTTTCCATTCATCTGTTGATGGACGCCTAGGCTGCATCTTTTGGCTACTGTGAATAGTGCTAAGGAACATGGGTGCATATGAATCTTACTGAGTCACTGCTTTGAATTCTCTTAGTGCTACACCTAGGAGAGGAATTGATGGGTACTATGGCTCTGATAGCGTAGTGGTTACGAATCAGACTGCAAACCTCAAGGTCAGCAGTTCAAAACTGCCAGCTGTTCTGCGGGAGAAAGATGAGGCTTTCTGCTCCTGTAAAGATTTACAGCCTTGGAAACCCTGTACAGGGTTGCTATGAGTCAGAATCAACTCCACGGCACATAACCAACCAACCAACGATGGTAGCGTAGTGGTTACAAGTTGGGCTGCTAACCTCAAGGTCAGCAGTTCGAAACTACCAGCTATTCCACAGGAGAAAGATGAGGCTTTCTGCTCCCATAAAGATTTGCAGCCTTGGAAACCCTGTACAGGGTCGCTATGGGTTGGAACCAACTCCACAGCACATAACCACCGCCACCAAGGCAGTTCTATGAGAAGCTGCCAAACTACATTCCTACCAGCCTTTGGATTTCTCCATATTCTCAATGAACATTTTTTTATTTCCAATTTTCTTTTGGCTTGTAATTATTTATTCTGGGGGAGTAGGTAGATTAAGGGGTGAGGGTTAGGGTTGGGACCATGGCTAGATCTAGGCTAGGCCTACGACTTTGTTTATTGTTAGGGTCATGGTTAGGACTAGGGTTAATTTTAAGGATAAAGGTTGGGCTAGGGCTAAGGCTTAATCTAGTATTTAGGGTTACAGTTAGGTTTCTTTTTGCTTATTTACTTTTTCTTGAAACCGATTTGATTTCCTCTCCATTTGGAGGTTCTGTAATTATATTATTCCCTCTTTTTACTCTGTTTTGTTTTTTTTTTTGTTGGTGTTGCGATGGTACCTCTGGTTTTCTGTTTTCAGTCTTATAGGTCTGTTTTACCCACTAATCGCTCCTCAGAAAACCCTATACAAGGTTGCTGTGAGTTGGAACCCACTCAGCAGTACTTGACAACAACAGCAACATAGGGCCCTGGTGGCACTGTAGGATAAGCATGAGATTACTAACCATAAAGTCAGCAGTTCAAACCCACCAGCTGTCCCAAGGGAGGAAAATGACACTGTCTGCTTCCATATAGATTTATAGCCTTGGAAATCCCATAGAGAGTCAAAATTAACTTGATGACAGTGGTTGTAGTAATTCTATGCTTAATTGTTTAAGAATGATCAATAATCGCTTTGTCTTTGGTTCTTGTGCTATTAAATAGAAATACCACAAGTGGCCGGTTTTAAAGAACCGAAACGTATTTTCGCACAGTTCAGGAAGCTCGAAGTCTTCCTGAAGGGGGAAGGCTCTCTGTATCCACTCTGATGACCTACTACTGCAGGGACTGGCCCCTCCTAATAACAAGTCTGGTCATCTTGGCTTCTAAGGAGCATTCTGACTGTACTTCTTCCATGACAGATTGGTTTGTTCTTCTGGTAGTTCATTGTACTTTCAATATTCTTTCCACGGGTATCGGGTTTAGATTTACAACACATATTTGGGGGTACAATTCAATCCATAACAATCATAATGCAATTATTTAAAAATAAAAATTAATAGAAAACAACTCAGTGGCATGGAGGGGATTGTAATCATTGCAATGAAATGTGAAATACGATAGGATGAATGCAAAGTTGATGCTCTCCCATGTAAACTATCACTCAATTCACAAACAAAACTTAAAAAACAAAACAACAGCAACAACAAACTCACAGTGAAGAAGACATTAAAATTTAAAATAACTGTAAGGATCCAAATGTGTCCCTCCCTCACCTCCTCCAGTCCTGGTCCAGTTGCACAACATTCTTCCTCATTTTCCCAGAGATACGTGCTTTTTGATACTAATTTAAACACTTTAACTGCTCAGTAAAAAAAAAAAAAAATTCGTGATGGTTTTACCTCTTCTCTGATGCTCTAAGGTGTTAGCACATTATTTTATTTTGTAAGATGCTACAGAAAATTTCTCTACCAGGCACATGCAGAAATGAAATGAATAAATCTGGTAAACAGAAATATTAAAAAGCTTCAGGGCTCCACTTGAGAAAATTACAACTTGCAGATCAAAAGAGGCTCCAAGTGAAAAGCCCACAAGGTAGGTTAAAAACTGGAATGGGTCTCACGTAGCGAGACCGCCAGCACAGAGGGGCTACTTTCAAGTCACAAAGGGGAAGTTTTCCAGTTTAATGATTACACTCGCTAAAGTCACTTACCACCGAGTGCTTTTGCTGCAGGCTCATGATGAATATAAACAGCACCCGGAGGAAGGCCATGTAAGAAACTATAAACAAATCTCTGGTGTTGCCTCAGTTTACTTTTGGAGACTAACCTCCCTTGAACTTGCAGTCCACCGAAGCCTTGGATGGTGGTAGTGTGACAGCTTAGAATACTGGAGTGGCAGTGTAAACTGAATACATGGAGAGTGAGTACAAAACCCCTTCACTCAATGCATGCGCCCAAGCAGGAGCCAGGCAGGGTGCTGCGTACTGAGGCTACAGTGGTGAGCAGTTTGCCTACTTAGACATGACTAGCCACTGGGGAAGCCAGGTTGGTAAAGAAATCTATCGATGCATTTGAATTACGCTATTGGTGAAAAATATTGAATCTACCATGACTGCCGGAACGCACACAATCTGTCTTGAAAGAAGTGTAGCTAGAATCAGTGGCATTACTAGGGTTCGTGTCACCCAGTTTGGTAACTTAAGGTGTTACCCTTATACACCTCTACTACACCCCAAGCCTTGGACTTACCTCTTCCCATACCAGAACATATAGAATAATCCTTAGTAAGGTTTATTATCAATTTTAATCATCAAATAATGTGATAGAGTTGTAAATTGCTCAAATGTGGTATTTTTTAGATTATGTGAACGCTAACAAAATTGTATTGTAAAATCTTTCTACCTTGAATTACAATATTATTTAGTTACAACATGAGCTTTGAAAAGTTTTCTCCTTTACCTTTAATTGCTACTTCATTCCCCAAACAATTATTGGTATAGGTTCATAAATGCTAATTACCACAATATTGTTGCCAAAACATCGGAAAAATGGACAAAATCAGTGACTATAAAAACAATAAACCCAAACCCACTCAGTTGAGTGTGACTCATAGCCACGCTGTGTTTCCGAGGTTTCCGAGGCTATAAATCTTTACAGGAGCAGAACGCTTCATTTTCCTCTTGTG